GTGGGCTCCAGTTTTGGTTTGTCATTTAGTTCCTTATCTGGGACAAGAAGGTGTGGTCATTGTTTCCACAGGAATGGTGTCAAACATCTGTGCTTTGTGTTACACTATATGGTTTTTTTTGGTTTTTTTGTTTTTGTTTTTGGTTTTGTTTTTTTTTTTTTTTTTGAGACAGGGTTTCTCTGTAGCTGTGGGGCCTGTCCTGGAACTAGCTCTTGTAGACCAGGCTGGCCTCGAACTCACAGAGATCCCCCTGAATTTGCCTCCCAAGTGCTGGGATTAAAGGCGTGCGCCACCACCGCCCAGCTTTGCACTATAGTTATCTTTCACTTATTTATTTATGAGGGGTGGGAACATCAAGATGAATTTCAAAATTTAATTCTCTTTTTCTCTCTCCCACAGAGGGTATGACCTTCTTCCCCCACATTTATGCCAACATTAGTTATAATTTCTACTCCTGATGAAGGACATTGTAGCCAGGGTGGCATGGAAGGACATTGTAGCCAGGGCAGCATGGAAGCTTAAGGGAGTCCTAGTCTGCATTTCCCTGAAAGGTATAAAACATTTTTTTGTTTCTTTTGGTTTTATTTTTTGGTTTATTGTTGTTGTGTGTTCATTTGTTTTCTGTTTTGCTCTTTTTCCTTTTTGAATCCTAAATTTACTATATTGTTAGAGCATTTCTTCTCTCACTTTTTTACAGACAAATCCTCCCATATACCCTCCCTGCTAACTTTCAAATCATGGTGTCTTTTTCATTAAGTGTTACTGCATACATATATGTCTATGTCTTCACGTATATATTTGTAAATAACCTACTCAATACATATATTACTGGTATACTTTCAGTGCTGACCATTTGGTATTGAACAGCCTATTGGTGTGCTCTTCCTGCAGGAGACTATTTCTCCTGCTTCCAACATCCCCCAGTTGCTTGTAATTTTCTGGGTAGGGTTGAGGCATTGTGGGCTTTTCCCCATCCACTTTGGCATGTCCATTGTTCTTGTTTTTGTCCAGTTCACAACTGGGAGGTCATGTTGGTGATATTTATACACAACGCTTCTCTCATTGCTAGGTGTGATGATTAGTCTTAGCTGTCAGCTTGACTACATCTGAAATGAAATACAATCCAAAAATGGAGGACACACCTGTGAGATTATTTTTGTTTGTTTTGATGTGACTGAATACACTTCCAGTCTTGAACTTTAAGATAGGCAGACAAATACTCTTAATCCACATCTTCAGGTTGAAGGACACACAGCTTTGATCAGGATAGAGAGGTTAGAAGATACACTTTTAATCTGGGTCACTTCTGTTGGAAGCCTATATAAGGACCTGGAAATTACAATCATTTTGCTCATTGTCTGTTTGTTATCTCATTTTATTCCTAGCACATCCATTCCTTCACTGGCACTGGAGGCTACTTCTTTGGAAATTCCAGCATATACTGAAGACCAGCTGAGATATTCAGCCTTGTGTGCTAAGTACTACTATTTTTGAACTGTTTAGTCACATCTAGCTCTTGTTGGATTACTTGGACAGCAAACTTAAAATCAATCCAGTAAATCCCCATTATATATAAGAATATATAAATTCATTCTATCAGTTCTGTTACTCTAGAGAATCCCAACAAATACACTAAGGGACACAATCTCACAACAAAATCCCCGGTCTTCTGCCTCTTTTAATCATTATACCCCCTCTTCAAAAATGATGCTTGAGCTTTAGGTTCAAGAGTGTTTTACAGATGTATCCAGCGGGTCTTATCTCCATAACTCTACATTTTGGTTAGTTGTGGATTTTTGCAGTGGTTTCTGTTGAAAAGAGAAGTTTCCCCAAGGGGTGATGGTGCATGTCCCTTATTCCCAGCATTTGGGAAGCAGAGGCAGGGCAATCTCTGTGAGTTCGTAGCTAGCCTGGTATACAGAGGAAGTTTCAGGGCAGGCTCCAAAGCTACACAGAGAAATTCTGTCTCAGAGAGAGAGATGGGGGGGGGGTGTTCCTTGAAGTATTAAGACTAAGCTTAGCTGTGGGCACAAGGAAAAATATTTAGCTGTTTGTTAGGGATTATGATGGTTTAGTAAAATCGCAGTTGTTTGTTTTCCTCCAAGATTCATGTCTTCACCAGCACCAGAAGGAAACTGGATTTCCACTACCAATCAATCATGGTGTCTGAAGTTTTGTTAAGAGGGTCTTAAATCCAATAAAAGAGATGCTTGCTTCCACCAAGGTGTGCTTGCCACTACTGCATCCTTAGGGCTCTTGTGCCAGGATGACGATTGATGTGCTTCATAGGCATCATAGCTGCCTAGGACTATTGGTTGACTCCCTTCTTTGGAAGATTGTATGGTATTTTTGGGTACCATGAAAGCTATTCTTCAGGGACCAATTTATATTGTTTTGAGGCAATGTCTCTGTGTTCCTCCAGATGTTGAAATCTCACTATGTAGAGCTGGATGGCCTTGAACTCAGAGTTCCCCTTTCCCGTGACTCCCAAGTGCTAGGTTAAAAGGTTTGCATGACCTTGCTGAACTGTATGTAACTTTTTGTTATTAGACTTTTTTGTTTGTTTTTTGAGAGAGGCTTTTGCTGTGTAGCCTTTGCTGACCTGGAACTCAGTCTGTAGATCAGACTCCTGGAACTCGCAGAGATCTGCTTGCCTCATGAGTGCTGGGGTTAAAAGTGTGCGTCACTACTGTTATACTTTGACAATTACCCAGAGTAACTGCACAGTCTACTTGACAGAAATGTGTGACCAACAAGATCTCTTGTTTACTGAACGTAAAGACTTCTGTTACACTAAATTGGAAACTCTAATTGAAATAGATGAATATAACATACCAGGTGAATATAACCTACCCAAATTTAAACAACATGAAATATATATGGTGAAGAGAACTACAAGTAGTTATAAAACTAAAGCAAGTAGGAAATGCCACCCTTAATACAACCCCATGGCTAAACTGACAAGATTCTTTCAGTACTCCAGAGAAAAACCAACAGCAAAGCTGCTACTTAAAATACTTCTTAAACCCCCAAAAGGGAAAACATCTTGACTCTTAGTATTACTTGATATTATACAAGATAATGAGCTAAGCATGGTAGCACAGGCCACATTATAGAGGCAGAAGTAGGTGGACCTCAGTGAATTCTAAGCCAGCCTTGTCTTCAATGTGTGTTTCAGACAAGCCAGGGCTGTTACACAGAGAAAACGTATCTTGAGAAAAACAATAGATAGATAGATAGATAGATAGATAGATAGATAGATAGATAGATA